ATTAAAATCGAAAAAACAAATTTTCTTCATCTCTTGCTTAACGAATTTTTTTGCTGTTTTAGGCCAAACCTCCAGATAAACTAAATAAGACAAGATGCATATATATAAGGTAAAAGTTGAGTTTCTGGAAGCTCTTCAGTCAAGGCACGGTAACGCAAAGATGGGTGAAGTTCGTTAAACCTGGAAGAAAATCTCCCGAAAAACCTGGGGTAAAGCGGTGGACAGCGGCAAACATTAATCAAGAAAATTTTCCCATTGTTAGGATCCATTTCAGATTGTGGGTTTTTTTTCTTGAGAAATTCAGTGCGTGCTAAATTAATTACTTTCACGATCAAGCTACCATTGCCACGAGGCCGACCGGGTCGTTAAAAAACAAAAGAATATTCGGGAAGAGTGAAACTACTCTACTAAGCGGCCTCAGGCTTTAGACGTGACGACCTCAAAATCTTTCTGCCATTGAAAATGTGTGTAACATTCAAGAGTTAATTTTAGCAAGTTTTTTTTTGTTATTGCTAGTGAAATTTATTTACATTTATGCAAGTGGATACCGTGCGTTTCCAAAATAGTAATTTTAAAGGCACAAGATTCTGCAAAGATTTCCCCACCTTAATTTGGAAGGCAATTATAAAAAACGGTGGCTCTCAAATTAAAATACTATCATTTTCTCTTTAAGACTCATTTACTAACACATAATTATGTGAAGATTCTCTGTAGTCACACGTTTATGTAATTAAATGGAAAGCTTAATTCAGCAAGTAAAAAATTGTAAGCGCAAACTACTTATTGTTCTTGACGGTTTCCAAATGCGAAGGTCAATCATGAGGAAGATCCGCGAAGACTAACGAAAGTTCGAAATTACAAACTAAATGCTATTTACAAAACGGAAGATAAAAAATGATTTCCATCGTGGAAAATAAAATAAATTGCACCGGAGTGGGTACCATTTTATAACGATGTTGGCGGCCTCTTTTTTGAGAGTAACGCTGCGTCAAAAAAGCGTCAAAATGTCATTTCAATATAAATGCTGTTTATTAACAGATCCATAATTACTTAATATTTCACCGTTAAAAAAGTGGTTGAAAACTTGTTCTTTGGGCGATCAAACTGTGACGTTTGAATTTTATTTTTGATTCTTTACGCTAAAATTCATGATCCATGGATGACGAAAAAATTTGATAGTCTCCAGTCATTTTTTTGCAACTCTAAGGGGTGGAACCTCTGGAGCAGACTACTATTTGCATGTGTAATCGTTTTTTGCCCAATAATGCTAACAAGACTTTTTAAATATCTCTTACATCCAAGATAACACCGTATGCCCTATTTGGATTAAGACTGCCGTGTATCTCAGCTGTTTTTAAAGATAAGAGACTTGCGGTTTTCGCAATGTTGTTTGAACAGATACAGAAAAATAAAAAAAACACTTTTGCATTACCACTTTTTGAGCTCTACACTGTTGAGACATTTTCAATTCGTTTTGTTTGGGAAATCAGCATGAATTTTATTTTATTATATGGCTAGTAAAAAAGTGCATACTGCATTGAGTAGCATTTTTGATTACTAATGCAACGATGTCGAGAACGATTTACGAAACACAAAAAAACAAAAGTTGCAAACTGTTGGTTTCAACAGGATGGTGCACCCTCGCGCAACGCCCTAATCGTGTGAGAATATCAATTTCCTGGCAAATTAAATGTTTTAATCCAAAACTCTTGTTAACTCCTCGCAGGAAACACACAAAATATTTTCTAAGTACACACAAGTGGTCTAGTTGCATGTGGAAAAGTTGATTTTTAATTTGTTATCAATTTTTCAAGGTGGAACTTCTTTCAAAACCTATTTCGAGCTGAAGGTGGAACGGACAAAAAATTAAAAATATTAGTGGTGAAAACTGAAGGTCCCAAATTGGAAAGTGACTATTGGAATTTGGAAAATACAGTGGATGCGAGTGTGTAAAGTTGGTGGTTTTGGAACCCAATCTAACTTAAAAAGTGAAGGAATTCCGAATATTTTCCAAAAAAATGTACACAATTACCGTTGCCATGTGCTCTATTGGAAAGATAAGAGAGACAGTCTAGAAACACAAGATCCTATTTTAGTCGCTATTCATTTTTCAACAAACTCCCTCTATGCACAAACGAGCGACTGCACTTTGTAACGAAGCACCCGATATCTGCCAGGAAATTATCAGTTTTAATGGATAACGGAGTAAACCTGCATGGTTTTAATGCTCGTTTTAGTTTACAAAACCAAAATCATCTAGATGATTATTTAACCGAGCTGAAATTCGAAAATATTAATTTGGCCTCTTCTTCTAAATGACGAGAGCTTTCCGGCGCAACAAAGACAATTGAAATATCTTGACGGAAACTGTTGCAGACGGCGGATTAAATTCGGCATTTTATTTTCCTTGGCGGACAGCTCTACAAATTAACCCGCCAATTTCTAACTTATACCTATAGAGGGAAACATTTTCGGAGCGATAATCTTCGTAACGAAGCGCCCAACTTAAAACGCGTCTAGATACAGAGGGTTCCGAGACTCATTCGCCAAGTCACCAAACCGCTGACCTTGACTAGGGGCGAGGCCGTACCCTTGGTGGCGCTCGAGTCCGTCCGTCCGTTCCGCTGACAGAACATCCAGGTTGCCGCCGACGGCCGCTCACATGATTGACTTACTATACTTGCAAATTTATTTATTTTTCTTTTAAATTAATAAATTGCCATTATTATTCTGCTACTGGTTATTTAATTTTCATGCCATTTGTGCGCAGACATTCTACCGAAGTTCTAGAAGTTTTTAATAAAGTAACTGGTCACAATATTGGCGCTCCTTAATAACTATCTTTTGTTGTGGAAACAACGTCATGTAGACGTTATTTCCAATTCCAAATTTCCAAAACTAATGATGCGACACCTTGTATGTGGCATTATTTCAATTTATTAAGTAAATCTGGAGGATAAACACAAAGTTTGTTCATTTTACTTGAATTTGTATCTCAGTGTTGTTTTTCCCTTTTAGAAATGTTGTAAATTCCTTTTGTAATTTATTCATTTTAGATAGTGTTCCCAGTCAGACGCGATAACGAGTTTTATCAGGTAAAAAATAATTAACGCACGTGTTTTATGGCGGTTAAGAGACAACGGCGGTGTTTCGAAGAAATGCGCGTTTCATATTGGAGGGGGGGGGGGCGTTTGGTGAGTTCCATCGTTAATGAGTTATTTGAAAATTCTTAGAGGAGTTTTATTTTATGGTGCAAGTGGCGTTTCCTTAAATACTGGATACGACTAAACGAGGCTGCTGCTGCTGTTAGCTTTCGCGACGGTAAACGAGCGTGTACATTTGTTTACACTAAATTATTGGCAGTCAGGCCTATTTGAAAACCCTTTTTCTTTTAGGGATTTTCATTTAATTTTTTTCCTCCATGTGTATCGGAATAAATTTTTGTCATTGTCATTAATTAGTTTTATTCGAATCAATTGTGCGACCTAGATAGAGTCTTTATGTTAGATTTTTCTTATATTCGTGCCCAAATTATTTTAGGTGTTAATCAAATATTATTAATTAATTTCAACAGTAAAAAGTAACCAAACTTTACACAAATAGTTCAATGCTGTTTGACTTCAATGCTTTTACGTCTATGTCTACCTTATTATTGTTTGTAAATTTTTCTTTATTGCCAATTGTAGGGTGGTAGCATTTGGCAACCATGGACGTGTGCTACATATATTTTTCAAAATGGCAAGCGTTTTCAAAATACAAAATAAAAAATGAGGTCCATTTTTCACAAAATAAATTGATGATGGCCCCAAAGAACCGAAACGTCTAATTATGCCAGGTTATAGGGGGAAAAATTTCAAATGAGCTGAATCCATTCAAAGAGCAAGTGGTCAACTCGGGTCAATCAAAACTGTTGAAATATTGCATAAAGAGCCTTAACCAACACGGACGGACAGAAACTAACTAGTTTTCCTTTTCAGGCGCCACAAGTATACTGACGAATCCTAAAAAATGAAATAAAAAGCATATAATCTTGCAATAGCAAACAGCCTATTTATTAACGATTATACTGTGTGCTTTCCCTGTGCTATTTTTGAACATTATCTATGTCTGAACGATGATGTAGCTGAATGGGCTCGGCTATAGGCATATATCTTATCTTCGTCCGTGCCAAGTACCCACCCTTGCAATTACCTACCTGAAATTAATTTTGAAGGGTAATTTACCACTTCGCACTTGCTCTTTTTACTGAGCTACCGCAAATAAAACGTCGACTACTGATGGGGAGGACTCTCAAGAGAATTGCAGCCAGTGACGCAATTAGATACTTTATCTTCACACTATGACTGATTAGTGGTTTTTTCTTTGAACAAGATATGCGTCATGTCAACTTTCCATCGAACTCGTAAAAGTTGGAATCGCAACTCGCTAATGTATGCATAGGTACGATATGACATACTTTTAGTAAAATAAACAACCCATCATGCCTAATTGAAAAAGAAAGGCAATGGAGGCAGCTTTAATTAGACTGGGCGTATGAAAGGTACCTATAGTCGAAAAATGCAGCACAGTTGCATAATTCTGTGATATGCAATACTTGCCAAATATTCCTTACGTAATAATGCACCTGTGCTCTCTTCACTTTCATAATGCGAAAGTTGAAGTAGATTAGCAAACTAAACAAAAAAAAATCGATCAATTTTCACATTTGAAAATGATACCGGACGAAGGTTCCCAAATGCCGTCTACGGGACCTCGAAGTAATCGACCTGTCGCATGGAATCTGGGACACCTAGTATATTGATTCGCCTGTTGTAGAAACAAAGGCGCCAAGTATGAATAGGCAGTTGGCATAGAAACCCTGGGTTATTTGCCTTCATTAACATGTAAATTAATGAGTTGAATGACGCCAATGTCATTGCCCAAACGAAATTTCCTAATTGGTTTCTAATTTTTGTTTCCCGAAGATCACGCAACGTTGGAAAATGCTCAGAGGTACTTACCGCTGTAATTATCGAATACGTCGTTGTATTTGTCTATGACGCTAGTGACTAAGTGGGCCATTTTCGATTTTGTCGCCTGGAAAAAAAAACAAAAATTAAACGCCGTTCGTCAAACTATATACGATTTTCGCGTCAAATGGAAATGTTACATTACCGGTTGTTTCAAATTCGCATGAAAAGAAAGTCGGCCTCAATCTCTCGTTTATTTATTTTTTTTGAGAGGGTACAAGAATACAAATGGGTCACAATTCAGAGTCGAAATGATGTGTCGGGAAACACTAAATGATTACGCAAGCTTTTGTTTAGGCCGCTCGAAAGACACGGATCACATGATATGACTTGTTGCCTTCCTGTAAAATGTTTCCGGAAAAACTTTCATTTCACTCTACGTAAAAGGACATACCTACCTCTGATCATAAATGTGCATTATAATACAATAAACTTGAAATGGATGGTAAATTATTCTAGGATGTTCTCAGTACAGGGGGCTCTCCATTAGGATCTTTGTAACGGTGAGAGATACAGTGTAAGGGGAATGGGGGCGAAGTTTCTTCTTTTTGGGCCTAAAAAACCGCATTTGAAATTTTTGAAAATAACTGAGGTATCACCGAAAAATGGAAAATGTCGGTTATGTTCAAAGATTTTTCCAAAATTTCAAAGACAAGGGGCAACTTTGTTCCCATTTAACCTACATTGTATCTCTCACCGTTAGGGAGATGGTGAGCCACAAATTAGACTAGATTTCATACCCTTAGAGTAATATATTTGCCCAATTTGAGTCCGTGCATTCTGCTTTGCTTTTACTGAAGGTTTAATTACGACGTTTCACTACTTACTCCCCTTAAACTTGTAATTGCGTAGTTTTCGTTTTAATTTTATCGCTTTTGAATCGTTCAATTTTCAAATTTGCATGTTTTCTAGAAGGTTTCATGTGGTCGTTTGCGAATTTTTATTATTAGGGGAAAATTACGCGTTTCATGTTGGGCAACGGGGCGCGTTCTGTCAAAGCTGGCGTTTATCCAATCTGTTTGTGATTAGCGATTTATGCGAAAATTCTTAAAGAAGAAAAATATGGTCCATTTCCGACCGTTTAAGGTAGGTAAAATGAAAAGGAAATTTGACATTTTCGATTTTTCGTTGACAAGATTTTTCAAAAACTTCAAATTTGCGTTTTTTAAGTCACAAAAAGGGGCAACTTTGTCCCCATTTAACCTACACTGTATTTCTCACCGTTACAGAGATCCCAATGGTGAGCCACGATTTTGAACCACCCTGTATAGTTATTATATTAAGAAAATTTAAGATTTCTTTTATTGTTATATTATGTCCCCCACCTGAGTGCGGGGTAAGATGTCCAAACAAGCGTTGTAAGCTTTTCTTTCTTTCAAGGATTTTGTTTTAATTCTTTCATGTATTTCGTAATAAACTTTTGTCATTTTGTGTTTACTCGAATCCAAAGTGCGACCCAGATAGAGTTCTCATGTCAGATGTTTCTATTTGAGCCAAGATGTATGCCTGTGTGTAATAAATTTTTTGGAATTTTCCATGATTGATCACCGAGTCTCTCAAATTGAGAAATTTTAAGTCAATATAAGGATTTTTCTTATAGCAGATGCCGGCTGGGTACTAGGAGAGATTATACCATTCTAAGTTTCAATTTTGATTTGCTCTGAGATAAGTAGCTGGATAGGTGAATTTTCTGGGGTGGCATAGTAGACCCCATGCCATTGCACTATGTTATTACACAGGTTAGTACAAACAGAACTGAAAAAAATGGGCGGAAAATTTTCATTAATTTAAAGGCAGCATTTGATAAAAGTGGAAAGAGAAAAAGTATCCAAAATGATGGAACAGGAATTAAGTATGTCGAGAGACAAGAAGGAGGGTAAGAATAGGAAGGAAGGAGTCTGAAATATTCTAAACAAATAAAGGAGTGAAACAGGGATATTCACTTAGCCCAACCTTATTTAATAATATTAAGACAGGGTCAAAGTGGAGGGATCGTAGTACGTAGTAACAGATGATGAAATGATGGGGAGAATGGAGACATATTGGGAAAGAAAGGGAATAGAGTTACCTAAATGTCGAAAAGTCGAAGATAACGAGATTTGGGAAAAAGGGAGGAAGAAAAATGAAGAACGGAAAGAGTAGCGGAGTAAGCGAAGCTAAATAGTGATCCAATAGACCTCTGCTTCCGCATAAGTTCTGCATATTTTGAACTTCCGTTTCCGCCTCCCATTCCGCCATTTTATGACGGAACTAGATTTTCCACCGCGACTTCGTACGCTTGGTATTGACCGATAACGATACCCCAGGGTGCGTAATGTAAAAATGTCGAGAAAAATGTAAATACGTCGGCACGGTACGATGAAAGTGACTTGGCACATGTATCGATCGGTATGCGAAATAACAGAGTGCGACATCAACGAAATAAGAAGCTTCTGCTTCCGCTTCCACAAACAATATATCGTCTCCTGTTTCCGCTTCTGCTTCCATTATAACACTTCCGTTGTATCACTAAAGTTACTTAGGGTAGCAAAAGCAAAAAAATAATGGAGCAAATGCGCAAATAATGGAGCTAAGGGGGGGTGCTACAGAGCAAAAAAATGTATGGAATGATGTTAAGGAAAAGGAAAAAATACATAAATTTTAGGTTTATTAATTTATTGTAAAAAGTTTTTAATAAATTTTGAAGGATTGAGGTACACTCACGACAGTGTATAATTTCCTCTCCCTAAAATCGATTTTTCCCTCTTTTGGACTAGATTTTACCTCATTAGCGGGAGTACACAAAAGTAGTACCTACTGTTGAATACTGTACTCCCCTTTTACTTTTAATAAAGGCTTAAATTGATGCATTTTGTCCTCGACTCCTTGAAAACTTTCCAAAAGTTTTGCTTTGAGGGGAGATTTCATACTCTTAGAGCGAAGTGCAAGATATTTTTGCCGAATTTGAATCGGCACTCTTCTTTACTGTAGGAAAGCTTAATCACGACATTCTATTTTCTCCCCTTAAAATCGGGTTTTTCGCTTTCGCTTTTCACCTCATTCGGAGGAGTGCAAGAAAACGTTTCTACTGAAAGATAACTCTGTACTTTTACTTTTGATTTTTCAGCATTTTCTTGGCGAATTTAAAAACAATGTTTTTGCTTTGAGGGTAGTCTTGATATCCTGTAAAGATAGGTGCTAAATTTGAATCCTGGTACTCTGCTTTAATTGACACCCCAACTCGAGAAAGTGCTCACGTCAGTAAAACAATTGCAAGTTTTTACCTTTACCAAGACCTTTGTTAATTGATCTATGCTGCCTATATTACCTTATCTTTGGGACAACGCCCTAACGTTTCTAGGATGAGAAATCCATATTTTACCAATAAGTTCTGAATCTGAACGTCGCCGTCTCGGTTGGTTAAGAGACGGCGAAGTATCGTCGACCTCGACAAAGCAACGTATTATTGAATTGGACCACCCTGCAAAGGACCCACGATTAAACTAGTAATTTCCAAGTAAATTTCTACGCCAATCAATTGAATTATACATTAGACCCTTAGTCATGTAATGTCAATGCTACGGAGAATCGATATAGGGTGTGCGTGCTTGGGAAAGGTTCCATATTGGGTTAAAGGTTAACGCAGGATAAATCAATATTCTTGAACTTGTAAAATTGGGTTAACATAAAGACAACGCGAGCCCTACGCAAACAATGGAAATCCGCCAACGTAAGTAGGTACGCGATCATTTTTCCGGACATGGCAAATACTGAAACCTGAAATCTGCGGACGTGAAAGAACTGCCGATTCAATGGTAAAATATGCATTGCAGGTAGATACAATACAATGTCGATGAATTTGAAATAAAATGTGTTGTGTAACGCCGCAGAAAGCGTCAAATTACTTCTTGTGTAAACTAATGAAGTTGGAAATGGTAGAAGAAGAAAATTGACTTCCGTAATCGCTTTGTTTCAACACGGACCGCAAATGCCACTTTTGCGTAATTAAGCAGATTGGGGAGGTGGTTGTTTGACAACTAAATGCTGCTTATTTCAAAACATCCGCTCTGCTTCAGGCTAATACAATCTTTAATACGACCATTAACGAATTTATGCTACTATTGGGGTACACTTTTTAAAATTTTAAGAGCGGCAACATAAAATGAATTTTGCCAGGATTCAGTGAAATTAACAGGGGAATTTCTGGAAATAAAACTCTAATCAATGCTATTGCTATGAGTTAATGGATTTTCGAGTGGTTTTTCCAACATATTGGCCGGTTAGAGGACGAAAACGAAATCCCTTTGTAAACAAATTGAATGTCCAAAGTGTTTTCATATCATCATTGAAGCACATAGGTATGTATGTGAAAGCTACACGCATGCAAAGTTTCATCCCTTCTTCCGGATGGGACCATAAAATAGATTTATGTTAGGACAAGGAGCCGTACTAATAATCGATTTTTTTCGAAATGGAACGCATATGCAGAGTGTCACAAGTAAAAGTAAATGCATGGGCATTTCGAATTTCGTTTGCAATAAAAGTAAAACAATCGACCACCAAATTTTAATTGTTTTAGAAAATGGCAATGTTTCAATTTTTCTCAAAACGCAATTATTAGCTTTCACTCGATGTTTTTAACACCCCTGTAGACATTTTTAATGTCGATATAGAAATTTTGCTGGGAATAGGGCAAGTATGTTCCCATTAACTAAACTTTTATCGCTTACCATTTGCCCATGTGTCCCAGATTGTACCAAATTTATGAGGGCGGTCCGATAAGTACTTACCCTTCAAAACTGAAACGAACATTTTTGAAAAGTGACGATTTATTTTCCAACATAGTCCCCTTTTAGGTCGATACTTTTCGCTGCTCCAAATTCTTTGACACATCTGAAAAATACGTTTTCTCGAAGTCTGCAAAGTAGGCCTCCGCGGCGGCGATGACACCCCCCACCCCCCTCAGTCAACTCAAATTTTCGGCCCGGCGAGTGACTTTCTCAAGTTTGGAAACAAAAAGAAGCCGCACTGGGTAAAATTTTCTGCATTGTGTCGAATTCGGCATACTTAATAGAGCCGTGTTATCCT